TAATAATTAGAAACACAGAAATGATAGGGAACAAAAGGAGCAAAATTGACAGAACCTATAAGATTACTAATCAAAACTATAGATCAAAATTGTCAATCATCTTAAAAGCATTTTAAAAGAAGAGCCCCAAAGTTAAAATTCTCATAGTTGATTTCATAATGAGCAGCAGATAGCACAGGCAGTCCCTGTCACTCTACCATCAACACATAGGGACTCCGGAGTCACTGTGATCACTGGCATCATTTCTTCTGAATGGAGAACAACTACACTTTGAAAATGGCCCAAAGCAATATGTGAAATTTTAAGATATTTCATCTGCAGAGAAAATCGTGAAAAATGTCCCGATCCCGGACAGCAGAGAGCAATGTAGAGGAACATAGAGAGATTCAGAATATCAAATGTGTACAATAACATGAGCTTAAAGGAATACTTTTTCTTTGAGAGAAGAAAAAAGGAATGGGAAGACACCCCTGAAAAAGAGGTTTGTGAGTACAAGAGTGGGAACACCAAGATGGAAATAAAATTAAATTTATGTCAATCAAAACTTACTTGAGAACAATGAAATGTGAGTAGTGAAAAGAAATGTGTTAAAAGCACTTACCAACTTATGCTGGAGAGGATGTGGAGAAAGGGGGAACACTCCTACTCTGCTGGTGGGAGTGCAAACTTGGACAGCCATTTTGGAGATCAGTATGACAGTTCCTCAGGAAAATGGGAATTAGTTTACCTCAGGTCCCGGCAATCCCACTGTTAGGCACATACCCAAATGATCCGCATCCAATGCAACAAAGACATCTGTTCAACTATGTTCATAGCAGCAGTATTTGTAATAGCAAGAACCTGGAAGCAACCTAGATGCCCCTCAACTGAAGATTAGATAAAGATGTGGCATATTTACACAATGGAATACTACTCTTCGGGAAACAAAACAAAACAAAACAAAACAAAAAAACCAAACCAAGCCAAAAAAAAAAAAAAAAATCTAGGGTATCTTGAAATTCTCAGGCAAATGGATGAAACTTGAAGAAACCATCCTGAATGAGGTAACTCAAAAAGAGCAACATAGTATGTACTCACTCATATATGGATTTTAGACATAGAACAAAGGATCAGTAGCCTATAATTCACATCTCCAAAGAAACTAGGATACAAGGAGTATTCTAAAAGATTCATTCAAGATCCCTCACAGAAGAGGAAAGGAAAAAGATCTCTTGAGCATATGGGGGGTGAAGGGGGCAGTGAGTGGAAAGGGGGCTAAGAGAAAGAGAAGGGGAGGAGAGGAAAGCACATGGGACTAGGAAGATTGAGTCAGGGAAGGAATAGACAAGAGAAAAAGAGAGAAATACCATAAAAGAGGGAGCCATTACAGGTTTGAAGAGAAAACTGAACTTAGAGAAATGTCCATAGACCTACAAGACTGACCCCCAACTAACAATTTGAGCAACAGTGGAAGGGCTACCTTAAATGCCCTTCCCTGATAATGAGATTGATTACTAACTTACCCACCATCATAGAGCCCTTTTCTAGTAGCTGATGGAAACAGAATCAAACACCCACAACTAAACACTGAGCAGAACTGGAATCCAGATGCAGAGACGGAGGACAAGGCCAGGCTACAGAAACCCAACAGAGACAGCTGACTTGAACAAGGGGAAGCTAATGGAGACCCAATTGATAACTGGAAAATCAGCATTGGGCAAATTCTGACCCCCTGAATGTGGGTCTCAGTTAGAAGCCCTGGGCAGTCTAAGGGACCTCTGACAGTAGAACCAGGATGTGTCCCTGGTGCACAAAAGAAATTTGGGAGCACATTTCCCACGGAGAGATACTCCATTAACCTAAAGGCAGGAGGGAGGGCCTAGTACCTACTCCAAATGACTTGACAGATTTAGTTGACTCCTCCAGGAAGGCATCACCCTACCTGTGGAGTGGGAGGGATAGGATGGAGGGTGAACAGGAGTGGGGGGGGCATGGGAAGGTGGAAGAGAGGGAGGGAGAGATGAAGAGGAAACTTGGATCAGTATGTAAAATAAGAAAAATAAATTTTAAAAATGAAAACAAAGCACTTATTGCATGAAAGGACCTATTTTACTTGTAAAATCAATGTTCTGCTCAAGAGCATAACTAAGAAATGGAAAAAATACAGCAATCACCACATTTCCATCATGATATAAATGCTTTTGTTCTTTTGAATTGCATTGTAAAGAATTAAAGGAGTAAAAAGGAACCGGATTCTGCAGCAACCAGAAAAGAAAAATCCAAGAGAACATCATTGGAAAAAAGAACTGTCTACCACAGTTATAAGGATGGAAGACATTGGTCCCAATGTGTTCAGCAGCTACATATAGAGCTCATTTATGAACACAAGGGTTTGTAATGTTTTTTGCTGACTGAAGTCATCATTCTAGTCACTTACAATTTGTTTTGTTTTGTTCTGTTTTTTTTTTTTTGGAGGGGGGAGTTTTTGACAAGCCTCATCTACACTCTATGGAGAATTTTGGCAAACTATTCTCCCTTAGACTTCCCATCTGGGCCCCAGAATTCAAGATGAAAACAAGCTTCAAAAGACATTTGGGACCTTCTTGAATCACAGGTCCCATGATTTCATCTAAGAGGACAGACAGCAAGACCCAAGGGACGACTCATCTTGAATTGACCTGCCCAGAGTTCTTTACCACAAAATGTTGAATCAGGATGATGCAAGGTCCTCACAAGGGAGGATGCCAAGGGACAGGGAAAACACCCTGAAATAGTTCCAACCAGGTTGGCCCAGTGAAAATCAGTAGGAAACCTTGCTCCTTAAAACTTATTATTGCTTATGCCAATCTAACTTGAAGAGTCTGAAAACATTTTATGTAAAAACCTTGCTTGTCTGCACACCAATATTTCTTTCATGTCTCTCTGTAGCACAAAATATTTTCTTTCTCATTCCTTGGGAACTGACGTGATAATTTATGAATTCCAAATCAATGGCTCAATCCATGATGAGATGAGGAATTCTGTTTGCTTTTTGAAGCCTAACCTACTGGGCTATTGTGTCACAAATCACCCATTTAATATAAGATCCTGATCCCTCCTATATCCAGACAATGAGATTTCAGGCACTTTATATGCTTTTCTTCTACTATGAACTATTGAAAGCTCCCCTTACGTTTTCCTCAAATAAAATAAATAAGGGCTTATATACTCCACACATGACTATTAAATGTTCATTCAGAATCCTTTAAATGAAGTTATTCTGAAGAACTGAAAGTGTCATTACAGTACATTTAGGGTTTGAACAATTTCACAAGTGCACAAATAACTAAATCTCAGCCACAGTTTTACATAAGCTCCATTTTATTTGTTTACCTACTCTAAGTGGCAAAGTTGAGTATATCAGATAGCTTCTAATCTGAGCACTGCTACACACATCCACTATACATCTCCTGTGTATAAAGGAGAAACTTCTGAATACAATTCCACTTAATGACTATCACAGGGGTCTTCTGATTCTTTTTCTTGATAGAGTGACTCAAGTCTTGTTTCTCCCAGATGTTTCTGTTAGGTAATTAATCTCTGCTACCTGTGACTCTGATTAAAAATGGGTTATTTTATGAGGTGATCAATATGGATAAGGTCTTCATTTTTGGACCTGATGATGTTGGAAAGATAGATCACCATGAATGAAAACATGGAAACCAGGACTGATAGTTTGCACAATATGACTCTCAGAAAAAGCTAGCCACTGTTTTTTCATTTTTTTAAAATTTTATTTATTCATTTATTTTATATAACCAAGTCCATTTAAATGAAAACAAACATTTATAGACAATATTTGGGAAATTGGGTGTCGTTCTTTCCAAACTACTTCATGCTGGTAAGGGGCGCTGTCATGGGGGATTCTAAGAAAATGCAGAAATCCTGGCTGTAATCTGTAAGACTGCTTTGTCCGCCTGTTTTGAATGTAGAATCACCTGGTACTCTGTTTCAGGTGGTCTGGCTTGATCAAACCATATTAGTCTGGAAGGAATCCACATCTTTTCATTTTCTGTGGAAACAAGAATAGAAATCCTTTCCCCCAGTAACTTGTCCTTGAACTTAAATTTTGGAGTCAAAGCATTTTTTTATTTAATTTATTATTTTACATGTCCATCCCAATTCCCTCTCCCTCCCTCCCTCCCTCCCTCCCTCCTTTCCTCCTTCATTCCCTTTTACCCTCTTTGCCCTCTCTCATACACTCTAACCACCCTCCCCTCCCATCCCCCACCCCAATTCCATATGTAGGGGAATGCCATCCAGTTGTGGTCATGTAGATCTGACAGGTCATGTGAAGTAGGGACTAGGGCTTCTCTCCTGTCTCTAGATTAAGGCAGTTATTCCTCCATGGGGGGATGTGTTGGCATCCTTTTGTGCATCAGGCATACATCCTGGCTACATTGTCTGAGGTCCCTTAGACTGCTCAGTCCTTCTGGCTGAGACCCATATTCAGGGGGGCCTGAGTCAGTCCCATGCTGGCCTCCCAGCTATCAGTCTGGTGTTTTTATTATAAGATAAATTTGTCTTCATTGTTCTCTAGTAATCTTTTGGCGAAGTAATTCCTTTATGTCAAATTCATATTCATTATAAAAACGTGCTTTCCTTCATAGCAAACTTACATGAAATGTAAGTACAAGGAATCCAGAAAACATACCACCAGCATCAAAAACAAGTGGATAAACAGGAAAACTTTTAGTAATATAAATGCAGAATTATACAATGTTGAAGAAGTGAAGAATGGCTACATATCTCATTAATCTTTTCTTTAATATTATTTGAGAGATACAATGAATATTCATGAAAGTCAGCTTCCCAATTAGAGAAATAAGTAAAGATGAGGAAATAAAAACGGATTTATTACTAAATAAATCTAATAAATATAAAATCTTTAATTGCTATATTATCTCTGTCAATTGTATAGGCTTGAAGGCATCTATATAATTTAGAAAAACATGGACTAAGCTTTATAATCAACTTTTCTTCTAGAGTGTGCTTTGGTTCTTGACATACTTAAGCACATCCCTATGTGGTCTAAACAAAATAATATAGCACTTGGAGACAAAGATGCAACCTAGGAGGCCTGCACTGGAAGCCAGGATGGAAAAGACTTCCATGGCCATCACAAGTTTCCCCTTGGTGCTGTGGTAGACAGGAAGGAAAGTGACCCAAACACTGAAATAAACCAACATGCTGAAAGAGAAGAATTTGGCTTCATTGAATGTGTCAGGCAGGTTCCTGGACAGGTAAGCCATGGTGTAGCTACCAAGTGCCAGGGAGCAGAGGTATCCCAGACCAGAGTGGAAGGCAATAGTGGAGCCCTTGTTGCATATAATAATTATGTGTCCATGTTCAGTGTGAGCATCTGAGTCAACAAAGGGAGGAGAGGCGCTTAGCCAAATTCCACAGAGCACAAGTTGGATAAGGGTACAGATGGGAATGATGAAGTTAGGAGCCCTTGATATCATTATCCACCTTATCAGTCTCCCTGGGATTGTGATCTGGAAAGCCAGAACCACAGTTATAGTTTTGGCCAAGACTGTGGAGAAAGCCACTGTGAACAGAACTGCAAATGTGCTCTGCTGCAGGACACAGGTGGCTGTGTTGGGACGGCCAATGAAGAGCAAGGGGCAGAGAAAACAGAAGGTCAGAGTGATGAGCAGGATGTAAGTGAGAGACCGATTGTTGGCCTTGACGATGGGAGTGTGGTGGTACTTCACCAAGACACCAAGAACAACAGCTGTCAGTGCAGAGAAGCCCAGGGCCAAGGAGGTGAGTGCCATCCCCAAAGGGTCTTCATGGGACAGAAAGGTCACTGCTTTCTGGAGGCAGTGGCTCTGCTCTGTGTTTGCATAGTGACTTTCTGGACACCTCACACAATGATCCATATTTACTCGGGAATTAAAGTTATTGTGAGTCTCTGCTCAGGAAGCCACTTTGCATTACCAGCTCTCTGGTGTTGCCCACATTTCCTTTTTTGTTTCAGACTCAAGTAAATCAGTGCTCAATAGTGCAAATTCCCAAATGCTCTCCAATTAATCATTCTAGATTGATCTTTTTTATAGGACATAAAATTAACCAGTCTATTTTATATTAGTGTGCTTAAATACATCTTCAATTAAGTAATAATTTAATATTTATATTATACTTACAAATTACCAATTTAATTTCTATAAATCTAATATATGATCATAAGATCACCTCATTCTGATTTCCCTTGTGTGACTTTGTCCTGTGAGTTCAGTATAAGGGGTTTGTAATTTTTAGGATTTTCTTGTAATATTCTCAGGTATCACACCCAAATCTATCTATTTCTATAGTTTTTATTGAATGAATTCTCCTGCATTTTCCTTCTCTGATAGTGTGTATGGGAATGAGAACTATTAAATTCTTCAAAGCTTGAAAAACTTCTTTTTGTGAAACTGATTAGTCACTTCCAGGGAGAAATGATCAACTTAACAGATAGCTATAAAACTCTTATTTAGTTGTAGTTGATCATGGAGTAATTATGTGATACTTTATTACTTTAAATTTTAGATTTTCATCTTCAATTCAAAAGTTATAAATAACTATATTAATACCATATTTTCATCCAATTAAAAATATTCAGTATTTTTGCAAAGTAGACATTTAAATTTGGTTTTTGTTGATAATTTGCATTAATCATTTTGTTACTGCCTACTGTGTCATTTATTACCATTATCAGCATTTTATTTGTTATTTACTCATAATACCCTGTCACTCTCAAGGCAATCCTGTCTCTTCTATTTTATCTGTGTTTACTTCTATGGATTTTAACTGAGCATGAATGCTTCAGAATCATAATCCTTTAAATTCCTTATTAAAAGCACAGGCTGCATATGTCATGACAAATACTTTTTTATCAATTGAAAATAATATAAAGATATTCACATGTCATCCTATATGTTTTGCAGTATGAGACTACTGTTTTGAAATATTTGGTATTTATATTTTAATTTCTTTTTTCTTACTAAATAAATTTTGAAATGTCTCCTTAAACTTCAACCATGCAGTGTTTGATATTGATGATTATTGATGGTTCTAGTTACCCCTAGTGAATATATTTAACATGAACATAGCATGGCTCAATATACACAAAGTCTCTATATTCACATTAAGTCTTTGGCTATGTGTATAGGAGGTCTCAATATGCACATTTTAAAATTAGGCAAATTAAACTCACCAAAACTTTAAAACTTTCTCTCCTTATGAAGTAATGTTATCACATCTGAGTGTTCAGGGAAGCCATATGTTGTTGAAAACATTCCAATTAATATATGAAGAATCTCCTTAGACATTAATATTAAGGTTAAGGAATCCTCTTTGATTTTCTCTCAATATTCAATATTTTGTCTAAGTGTGCTCCTTCAATTCGCTTTTTTCAATTGTCTCATGCCTACTTTCTATTCCTTAGATATATTTTGACATAATATTTTTGTGGAATATTAGATGAGTATGTGTTACATTTGTTTATACTGTGGAACATTTGTTTCATGATACAAAGGTATGTTGCATTCTTTTATGGTATGGTCGTATTCCTTTTCATCTCTAAAATACCTGATTGGTCTAATAAAGTGTTGAATGACCAATAGCAGAAAGAGAATGGTTAGAGAGGGCTTTCAGGTAGAAAGAATAATTAGGAGAAGAAATCTTGGAGACAAGAACCAAGGAGCAAAAGAAGGAGAAAAAGAGGAGGACATAGGGAACCAGCCACCATGCTACACAGCAAGCCAGGGAGAAAGAATTTTTAAAAGATGTGTACACTTGAGAAAATCAACACTCAGAGGCATAAGGTAGACATGACAATTTTAGTTAAGAGAAGCTGGCTAGAAAAAAAAGTCAAGCTAAGGCCCAACATTTGTTAAAAAAAAAAAAAAAAAAAAAAAAAAAAAAAGAAGCCTTCATGTAATTATTTGGGAGTTGGGTAGCAGGCACTCAAAGAGCCAAAGAGTAAAAATCTAGCAACTACATAAGGTTCCTAACTATGTTCCCAGTTGCCTGGAAAAGACGATACTTTAAAAGCAGTGTCCTTCCTTATTGTATAAACATTTGTATATATGTCTGACTTATTCACAGTATTATCATTAATGGAAGTGGTCATATGCCATTTTCACCTAGTCGTCACAAAATTATTCCATAATTTTCTTCTTCTATGTTTAATATTTTTTCCATTAACTTCTTTTAGAAAATAGTCATTTGTATACAATGACTATTTACCACATTAATTAGCTTACATTAATAAAATAACTCAAAAGAAATACACATATGTATTTAAGTTAATGAACCATAGCAACAATTGATTTAAAAATATTTGTGTTCAATGAAACTCTCACAAGAGGTTTTTGATGTATCACCCTAGTGGATGTTTTCTGGATCTAAACATGTATTAACTATTTCATATCTATGTGATTTAAGGATGTCCCTCTCCTTGGAAGTTACATAGCTATGATGTTTCTGGTACTCATGTAAAGATGGAAGAAAACAGTGAACCTGTTACACTTCAGGTAACTGGGTTCAGTTAAAAGCCCCCTATGGTGTCTGTAGTACACTTTCAGGAAATCTGATACTCTAATCTCACTTTGATGGGCACACTGTAAACAAAGGGTACATACATTGCAGGCAAAACACTCACAGATAAAATGACAAACATGTAAAATAAAACATTTTATAATATGTCCATGAGTCAATAAAATACGTTTCTAACCACCTCTGATGAAGCTAGAACCATGACTGAAAATATGCAACTAAGGACCATAAGGATCCAGCTCTTAAATGTGTGTTAACTATGAACTAAATATGCTATGAAATACAAGAGAAGTCAGTAATTTATAGTGTGTGTGTGTGTGTGTGTGTGTGTGTGTGTGTGTGTGTGTGTGTGCATTAAATGCTAGGGAGAAATAAAGCAGAATATTCCACAATGGGTAAAGCCGGTCTATGAAAGTATCAGTGGCTGTAGAGGATCAACAACATAAATCAAGTATGAGTTTCAATGGACAAAGCATTAGTTAAATGATGATAAAATGAACCAAAATATTTTTACTTCTAACTGATAAAAGAACAGGACTCTACTGTTCCTTCACAGAATCATTTCATCAGTTTAGACATTACCAAAAACTGTAGAGAGGTAGGAAATTCCCCAGTGAGTCCAACACTTACCTGTGACATTGGAAATCGCATTATCTGGTCATCGAGTGCAATCATAGCAACAGGCAGGCCTCCCTTCCTGGGAAGATTTTCTGAATCCAGGAAAACAGCTCTCACTGCACACAGAGTGAGGAAGCTGAGAATCAAATACATGGTGAAAATACTCAGGAGTGGACAGTTGTAAGACAATAAAAATATTATTTTCCAACAAGAAGATGGCAAGTTATTATATTTATTAATTGTAGATCTTTGTTTTGACACATAGCTTCTAATTTCAATATAGAATAAGAATTATGAAGTTCAATGTATTTAATCAATGATGCAAAACAACAGAATTATGAACAGTTCTGGAAATGTTAGAGGTAGGGCAAAATAAGAAAAAATGTTAGGTCACTAAGTACATGTCTAAAAGGGCAACTGTAATGCTATAGTGATCCTATTGTGAACTTCCTGACAGCTGGAGTGAGCAGCTTTGTTTCCCAATGGTGATGCTTAATTTACATTTCGAGTTTGAAAGATTCAGATTTACCAAATAAACTGTTCTTTGTGACTGTCTGTTAAAAATAATGGACAGTATGTTACATGAAGTGAAAACATATTCTATAAGAAAGTAGCACCTTTTCATTTTCTTTTGTTATGGACTGAATGAAAAGCAAAAGGGGAAACAGAGAGCAGTGTTCATCAGCATGTAGTACCTGACTGAAGATACTCTTTTTTTCAGGCTCTTGCCTACATAGTTATTGAAACACACACCAAGTGTGACCAGAAGTCTATGTAAAGTTATGTTCCCCCCACCCTTTTTTTGACAATTGGTTCCCTTCTCAGCAGGAAGACATGTAATATGCCCACATTTATGTGCCCTCAATGATATTACATATTGCCAGGTGCCCAAAAGCCAATTGAACATGCACTGAAATTTTCTAATCTGGGAGTCAAATTAATGTCTTCTCAGGTAGTTTCAGCACAAGGATGAAATCATTATAAATAGTCACTGATTTTATAACTGGAAATAAATGCCCATTGAAAAAAAAATTCCATTACTCAGAGGAAGGAACAAAAAGTTCCACAGATGATAGTAGCTTTGTGCATACAGATTGTCACTGAGTAAGGTGTCAACAACCATTACATCCACAAACAACTGTTTATTGAAAGAGATCAATGCAATGATGTAAGATTCAACCCACCTCTGTAAATCCTGTGGCCCACTGGATCATATGATCAGACAAAAGCAGTTCTTGGCCCTGTGGGGCTTTTTGGAGAAAATGTTCCAACCTTCATCTTTTGTCTGAGACCAAGGGGAAAATTCCAGAAGTTGAGAATATCATATTGTGTATCTAATTTCCTTTGTGACTTCAAAACTACAAGGTTTCCAGAAGCATTTTTGAAATGGGTATTTTTGAGAAAATGGTGAAGCTAACGAGATGTAAAATCTGATGTTGAATTCATTCCCAGAAAATTTAAACACAACATCATAAAACAATGTGTCTCACTATATCAATTTCCTGACATTAATTGCAAACTATGTCAACATATCAACATTTTATTGGATGAAGACCAAGAATGAACATATCATATTTCTAGACTGACATCAGTTTCAGAAGAAATAATTCTCTCTCTCTCTCTCTCTCTCCCTTCCTCTCTCTCTCTCTCTCTCTCTCTCTCTCACACACACACACACTAAACCTTAATCAGTGATTGTTGATTCAGACAAATGCCCAACTTCTTGAAGTGTTAGCCACCACTCAATGCTTTAACTTGTAAGCAAGGGTGTTTAATGCCTAAACTTAATGATAATGGTCAGATACTGTTAGGTAACAAACATAACTTCAGAATTTGAACTTTAATGATTTAGCAAAATTTGAGCATTTAGTATCTACTTCTCCTATTTCAGCTCTGAAATATACTTAGAGATAATGAGTTTTCAAACTTATTTCATTATAATGAGTAGATTATAAAGTTAATTGTAACACAAAGTAGATAATGACATTTACACATTTAAACATTTTCTTGTCCTCCCTTCATCAGGAACAATGACATATATGTCTGCAGCAAATTCTAGATGATAAGTGACATACAATATCTTAGGTGCCTTTTGGTAAAATTTGCAGAGTGCATAATCATGTATTGAGTGCTTTTAAATATCCTCATAACTCACAATGCTATTGTTAAAATATACAAGGAGAGAAATTACCTCCCAAGGGTAAGTATTTACCTCCCCATTTCCATGGGGGTAATTTTGTACTTGGTTGATAGTCATCTCATGGAGACTGTGAGCCACAGCATACACAGAATTATATATATTGTAACTCTCTTCAGTCATGTCCATTTCCCAAATATCTCTAGGCAACATTTTCAAGGAAACATTGAGTGGACAGTTACACAGTATTTTACAATCAGGTCCAGAAAAAGAGCAATTGAAGTGTTCATTCCAAATATGAGCAAGATAATGGTCATCTGGGTATTTAGAAGGATTATATGCCCAGATAAACTTCTTAATTCAGAAATCTTAACATGGTGAGGTGTGAAAATCAGACTCCCACATGAAATAAAAAGAAACAGTACTCAGATCCCATTGTGACTTCATGACCCGGACTTTCCAGTTCACCAAATGTTCCCCTATGTACAGAAATATACCAGTTAAAGATTCAGTGTCACCATGAATGATAACCACATATGCAGTTGATTTCATGGTCTCCTTGAAAGTCCTTAAAGAATTATAGTAGAAGGGAACTACATTGTCTGGAATCATTTCTACAAAAGCTATACACATTCTGTTCCTGTCCATCTCTTTTCTCAAGTCTGAGAGAACTTCAGCACCATTATGATCATCTACAAGAACCAGCCCCACCCATGTCCAGCTGAAATGAAGCATCAAAAGGACAATGACATGTGACAGAGATGTTTCCTTGGATGCTGTCTGGTAGAGAGAAGAGAACTGTCTTCTGTCACTCAGGATAGTGTCAAATTGGCCAAAAGTAACCTGCAGGAAATTTCAAATAGGAAACATAAAATACAATCTTGAACCTGAGGCAGCACTTTGGAATAGTAAAGATTAACATCTGCTCATGATGTTTTAATCTCCTATCTTGTCTCACAAGACGTAGCACTTTCTAAACACCAAAAATAGGCTCCAAACTCTTCCTATCCTCCATCTCCAGCAAAGTATGTGAGGCTATATAACCAAATTCCTGGTTAATTCACTTTGATTGATGAATGACATATACTAACTTCTGTATATTTTGATATTTTTAATACAGGTTTTTTGTTTCCTAACAACCTTGTCCTTCACCTGTGGATATTTGTAGAGATTCAGCAGTCTCCCAATATGTGCAGATGTTGCCCATGATATCCCTGTCAGTAAAGCAGCAGCCTTCTTCTGCCTTCTACATGTGTAATTGGGAATCATTGTTCCCATGCCTGTGAGGCAAATGAAAGGTGCCTCCAGAGTATTCCATTGATTGCTGTTGACATTATAGAGATCAAAACCTAGAGATGTGTTAGGTAAAATGTGAGTGTTTCTGTTGATTTCCTCAATGGCAAATATGAAGGCCAAAGAAACCTGGTAGCTCCTTGCCTTGAACCTACAGAGAATTATTAATATTTATGATGGGGCCTCACATGTTCTTACAGTATGATACAATGGCTTTTATACTTTCTATGTTACATAGCTACAAAAATAATCTTTGCCATCATGATAATGGTTGTAATTTGAATGCCAACAATCATAGTAAGTGGTGACCTTATTACATAAAAGCCTGGATGGATCAAAAATTTCTGGACAGGAAAGTTAACTCATATCACACATGGAATCTTCTGGTAAGTAGAAACACATACAAAACCCCCTAATTCTTTGACGTTTTAGTGAAATAAGCAGCATATAGAAAATTTCATTCTTAAAGTCTCCCCCATTCTGTACTATAACACCTCAAGGCATCCACACCACACCAACTCTGTCTGTACATGGGTGGAGAGACTGCAGCCTTTCAGATGTTCTAATTAAGGACCAATGATGCTCATGGAGACATCTACCTGAGTTGCATGAATCAATCCTAAAGCAACATTAGGATCTGCACTGAGAGAGGTTTAAACATCCCCCACCCAAGCACAGTTCTTTGAACAATCTTTCATCTGTCCCATTGCCATCTCTTTCTCTTAGAGATGTACAAGGAAGAGCACAATGACTGGGTGATCTTAGGAAGATCATGGAACCTCCCTAGCAAAGTGGATTACACGTCAACCTTGAATGCCCTGATGGTGGATATGGTTACTTTATTCAGTAGCTTTATTCATCAGCTTTATTCAGTAGCTGAGTTCAACTTGAACAGAAATATGACCTGGTTGATGACCCATATGATCCTCATCAAGATGGAAGCAACCATGTTACTTGGCTCTTGTAACAAGTGTGGGTTCACAGGGGTCCATGGAAAGAACTCACAGATGGATCTAAGGATGATTTTATGACCTTTCCAGATACAGGGGTAAATAGCTTCTCATGAACTGACACTTAGCAAAAGGCTTTTTCTTTATTCAATTTACATCTTTATCAAGTTAATTTCCATATACCAAAACCTCTTATTTAAGTTTTTCAAAGGGACCATGCCAAATGCATAGTCTCACTTAAAGAATACTGCATTTTTTCCCAAGTTTTGCATACGATTTATGCCCTTAGGATGCTCTCAGGTGTGGGTGAATTAAGGAAGCCCAGGAATAACCAAATAAAAGAATAACAAATGTTAGTTGGGGAACATTCACACAATGAAATTTTTCTGCCTTTAGGTGCTGGAAGCTGCCATTTGCTCCATGACCACCACTGGAAAAGGGGGAGGGGGGAGAAGGAGAACTTGCTCCCAGTTTACAAGTAGAACCTGAGACCCTGGCCAAAATGGGCTGATACTTCATAGACTATTGGCTGAATGAGTTCTCACAACACTCAGCTAAGATTTGCATGGTTTAAACAGAAGGTACAGAGGACAAAAGGTAGCTGTCAAGAAAAGCAGATCAAAGCTAAATGCTGACAATCCGGAATCAAACCAAGTGCAAAAATCTGCAGGAGTGCCTGTCATATGTCCCCCTTTTGTATATGTAACAATTAATTATGCTGGGGGTTTTGTAGCTTTACAGCAAATACAACCTTTGTTTTATGATCTTATATAAGTAAGTGAAAATACATTTTAAAGCCAATATGGTCGCTATTGCTAGCACAAGAGTAACACTTGCTAAAATAAGAAATCTATTAAAATGATTCAAAGGCATGAATGAGGCTATTGTATCTGAAATGTTTTCTGTAACATCCATTATTATCGTAAAAGTTAAATTTTTTGATAAAAATTTCTTTAATTTCTGGCTATAAATAATTTGAGGAGTAGGATGATAAATCAAGTGTACTTTTATTATCTCCTAGTCATACTTGATATTGTTGAACTTTAAAGGTGTGATACATAGGGTGTAGCATTCTAATCTCATTTTAATTTTATCTGCTCCTTCAATATTTCTAACTGATCTCCCAACAGTATAATAGCTTGACTCAAATCAGCTAATTCATTAACTATCTCACTATCTAATTTACTTTGTTCCATCCAAAGTTCTGTAAAATGTTTAGTTTAGTCTCTAATGAACTCAGCAGCTTGTATTTCTTAGTGATGGGCCACCCTGGTTGGCGCAGCACTAGCAGTCAATGCAATAATTCCCATTATTACAGTTCAACCATTCTACATGTTCTTAATATTCTTTCAGCAAGCTTCTGTTGAGTTTTGGGATGGCCTCAACAACTTCACCTTTATTCAGATTGCTTACCTTGCTCTGAGAATGCATAAATTTGCAGAAGTTAAATTTAGAGGCATACTAGAACTAATTCAGGTATGAAAGGCACAGCATTTTCAAGTAGTGTTGTAATTATTAGGGTGCCATTTTACAGGCTCTTCAGTAGCAAGTTAGGTAATGGTATGCATACTATAAAAGGATGGCTTCAAGTTAGTCTACAAGACAAAGTATATTTATCATCCATAATGCTTACATTTCCTTCCCATGCTTTGAAAGGGTAGAAGGCATTTGCTAATTGCCATAAGTTAGTCTGAACAGAATTGCAAAACTTCAGGAGAGGACTTTACATCCTAACTCCGTGACAATTGATAGGATCAATAACAGAAGAACTAATTTCCACAGATCCTTTCAAATCTTACCACTTCCATCTTAATTCAGAGTGAGAACACTTTCCTCAAGGGAAGCCACAAGGGCTCCAGTGAATGACTTCTCCATGGGAGATATTGATAAGCACTCGAGGTTTCTCACTCTTACATTGTTGCTAATGTACTCAGTCAGATTCCTTGCTGGTAACCCACATATAACAGAAGGGTAGATTTATGGAACTAGTAGCATTAATCTCCTGTCCTTTAAAGCCAGATGCATTAAGCATATAAAACTTAGTAGGATAGTATTAGCTAGTATTGACTATAGATAGTCATATTTGCGAATTTTTATTTAGACATTAAATTCCATTTCCCTTACAAGTGAGAATTCCTTGTACTTCCACAGTATAATTTTAAATCTCTATACCCTCCTTGATTGGCTGAGCAGGACCTCAGGTGTCATCAGGACAAGGTAGCCAAAAAAATTCATTAACCACCCGAATTGCTGCTGAGTTAATTGGACGATTGGGGGTATAGGCCCAATAACTATGATCAGTACATAACCTGCCCAGATACCACCTATACCATAGCAACGGACTAAGAATTTAAAGGTTACTGGGTCATTTGAATTATTGCCTCCCCTTTGTCACACAAATTCTTAAGCTGTCTTCAGGTTGATGGATTCACTTTCTGCCCCAAAGTCCTTCTGTATCTTTACCTTCCCAGAGGCATCTCAGCAGCAGAAGCATCTGAGAGATTCCTCTTCTCATGACAGATTTTTATCAATTTTGATGGTATCCATAACCTTTGATCTCTTGTAGAAACATAAGCTTACCCTCGGCCCCTTAACACTTTCCCTGGTTTTACATAGGATGACCTAATTCAGCAATTTTTTTCCACAATCAAGTATCTTTCAGCAGCTGTTGTCCCTGTTTCATTAGTGTTTAAACATTTTCAAGTTAGTAGATCATTATGTAGTCTATCCTTGGGGTCCTCGTATCCCTCTTTTGTTTAACAAGCATCTCCTTTAGAGTGTGAATAGATCTTTAATCAGGTTTTAATATCTCTGGCCTTCAGGCCTCATACACCTATTTCTCTCTACATTCTGTTTTACCTGAGATAAAGTTCCGATGCCTAATATTTGAATGAAGACTTCTTGTAAAGGACAGTAGGGATTTAGAGAGAGAGACAGAGACAGAGACACACACAGAGAAAACAAACATAAAAGAGGGAGCCATTATTGGTTTGAAGAGAAAACTGAACCTAAAGAAAGGTCTAGAGACCTACAAGATTGAGCAACCGTGGAAAGGCTACCATAAATGCCCTTCCCAGATAGTGAGATCAACAACTAACCTATCCACCTAAAAGTATACAATGGGAGGAGGAAAGCATCTTCAACAAATGATGCTGGCACAATTGGATGACGGCGTGTAGAAGACTGCAGATAGACCCATGCCTATTGCCATGCACAAAACTCAAGTCCAAATGGATCAAAGACCTCAACATAAATACTGTAGTGAGATAGTCCTTCTGTGGCACTGACCACGCCCATTGGGGGGTGGAGCCATGGGCGGAAGTGACCTGTGGAAGGAGGTCGGAGAGAGAGCCGGGAAAAGCTCTCTTGTTGGCGTGACTCGGACAGGAGAGCATCAGGTTGAATTTCCTGGTGTTCATCTGTCTAGGTTGTAAGTTATTTCTCCCTGAATAAACATCTATTCGGCCTATTTGTTTATCCTGATTCTTATTTAACCGCGATAAAATACAGCCACACTGAACCTCTTAGAAGAGAAAGTGGGAGGTACCCTTCAACAAATTGGTAGAAGAGACCACTTCCTGAACATAACTTTAAGTAGCACAAACAATGATGACTAAAACACCAAATAACACTATTAAAAAATGGGTACAGAACTGGAGAGAGAATTCTCAATAGAGGTAATCAAAAAGGCTGAAAGACACTTAAGAAAATGCTCAACATCCTTAGCTATCTGGGAAATGCAAATCAAAACAACTGAGATACCATCTTACTGCTGACAATGACAACTTATGCTGAAGAGATGTGGAGAAAGGGGAACATTCCTACACTGCTGGTGGGAGTGGCGGTTCCTCAGGAAAATGGGAATCGGTCTCCCACAGGACCTCACAATCCCACTCTTAGGAATATACCCAGATGATTCACATCTATGCAACAAAGTCATCGGTTCAACTATGTTCATAGCAGCATTACCTGTAATAGCCAGAATCTGGAAGCAACCTAGATACCCCTCAACTGAAGAATGGATAA